GGAAGATCCCACATACCGCGGAGCAGCTGGGCCCGTGAGCCACGGCCGCTGGGCCTGCGGGTCCGGAGCCTGTGCTCCGCAACGGGAGAGGCCACAGCAGTGAGAGGCCCGCATACCGCAAAAAAAAAAAAGAAAGGTAAGGGGAATGAAGCAAGCTTAGGAGAAAGTAATAAGTGTGACTTGACAGAAGGTAGAGGACTCATGTTGGAGGTGGTAGAATGAACCTAGACCCTGCAGAGTCTTAATTGCCAGGTGAAGTAATCGGACCTTTGTACGCATTACAGGCAGTGAGATTACAGGAAAGAGGGAGGTATCAGAACTGGGTGTAAGGTGATAAGCGCTTCATCCAAGGACTTCTCAGCTGAAATGAAGAGGGAGTTATGGAGCTGAGGAACATTTTAAAGGAGAAATTAACAGGACTTTGTGACTAGTTGAAGGCAGAAGATTAAGACAAAGGGTGATAAAGATTTCATTAAGGTTTTGAGTTTATGTGACTGGAAGAATGGTGCCCTTGTGATAGAAAATTTATGAGAGGTACTGATTTGGGAGGGGGAACAACAAAGAGAAGGAGATGGCACATTGAGTTTGAGTGATGTGAGAGGCCTAGTTGTACTAGCCAGGGGAGTGGAAATAGGAAGATTTAGATTTTTTTTAAAAATAAATTTATATTTTATTTATTTTTGGCTGCGTTGGGTCTTCACTGCTGCACGTGGGCATTCTCTAGTTGCGGTGCAGGGGGTACTCTTCATTGCAGTGCGCGGGCTTCTCATTGTGGTGGCTTCTCTTGTTGCAGAGCACGGGCTCTAGGTGCATGGGCTTCAGTAGTTGCAGCACACAGGCTCAGTAGTTGTGGCTCGTGGGCTCCAGAGCGCAGGATCAGTAGTTGTGGCGCATGGGCTTAGTTGCTCCATAGCATGTGGGATCTTCCTGGACCAGGGCTCAAACCTGTGTCTCCTGCATTGGCAGGCAGATTCTTAACCACTGTGCCACCAGGGAAACCCAAAGATTTAGATTTGAAAGTTATTGTCACTGGAGTGTGATAATTGAAGACACGAGATAAGATTAGTTTACTGTAGCAGAAAAAGAAAAATAGCATCAGACAAAAAACCAAACCTTCAAAATTCAAGTTTAACAACTATTTATCAAAGATCCATTATGTATAAAACACTGTCCTGCAGACTTTCAGGAAACAAAGAGAAATAAAACATGAGGCCCTTGACTTCAAGGAGTTTAATATCTAGTAGGGAA